ACTACCTTTCTGAGATAGTACTGTAGATTTCTCTGCCGCCTAATAAACCTTTCTTCAATTCAAAGTATAGCATACTGTATAGATAGTCATGTTCTCCACAAACGACAATTGAGTAACTTTCTATACTGGAGTCTCGTTTAGCACCAGGCACAAATCCCCGGCGCCATGGTGCCAAGTAACGTCGGACTGGCTGCGGGTGTTCGGCTCTTACAGGATCCCGATCTTCGCCTCCGGGCCCCTGCAGCCGTCGCTGTCCATGTCGAGACCGGAACCGAAAGCGGGCGTGCACGCGTCGGGATGCGTCTGGGTTTCCACACCTGTTATTGTTCGCGCGATGACGTGCGAATTGCATTTCGTGGGTGATTTCTTATTGTCGATGGCGTTCTCCGAGGCACGCTAAGATGATGTGCAAAATATACTGTTGAGAGCTTGGTAGATAAGACTTCCAAGCAAAAGGGGCCCAAACGAAATTCTGAGATGGGATCTCAGCCCTCAGCTCTTTACCTTCCCCCAGATAACTATTAGTAAAGAGAGAACGGCTTTGTTTGAACGATTTCCAATTGTCCGATTCACATATAAACTGCAGAGTCATTCTTGGGTTACATCTTGGAGTGAAAATGTTTCCTCGAGATGTCGGAGGAGTGACAGAGCATATCTGCCTTCGCAGACTTTGATAGTGACGAGAGTTGGTTCGTTCCAGCTGAGGCCGCAATGTCATGGTCGCATCCATTCCAGTCGACAACGTCGTGAAGAGATTGTCTGAAATTGAGTAGTTCTTTCTTGGTGGTCCCTGGGATATCCTTTCTACAAGACAAGATAGATACGCCAGTCCCAATGCTGCAAGTATTTGTACATTATTACACATCTTTATACACTCTCAACCGCCTCTCGCGTAGGGAAAGCCATCAGAGCCCAGACGGAAGCGGTCCAATGCCCTCCCCTCTCAAGCCAACCCAACACCCCTCAAAGCCCTCATCTTTACGCCCTCCCAGCTATTCAGCTTCGGCCTCACGTCCAGGTAGAAGCTGGGCTTGCCGCGTGCGTCGGGGCGTCCGGCGTAGAAGTCAATGACGTACTCGACCTGTACGCCGCAGCGGTCGACGACCCAGTCGTGGCGGTCAAAGGGCGGGGTGTAGCCCAGCAGGGTATTCACGCGCGCCTTGGGGGACATGTTTGTGCTGAGGCCGAGGAAAGAGTGCAGTTTGGGGCCGTCGCAGCTATGGGCTTGTGTTAGGTCTCTTCTACTTCGTTCTTTGATGGTGGACGGGCTGGATTGAATCCAGAACCATGGTTGGAGACATGACTTACGCTGTGCCTTCGAGGTAAGGCGCCTCCCACTCTTTAATTTCCTTCCACGCCCTCTCGTTGACGGCGTTGTGAATCGGCACCACGGTCGCCATGTCTTGCGCGCGGGTATCGTGGCCCTTGCGCTTCATGGCGTCAAAGAACATCTTTTGGGAAGGGTATATCCAGTTCCCCGTCGCCTCGTCCGAGCCTGTTTCCTGCTCGTGGTTGGAGGGGCGGCTGGTTCCCGGGTACGCTGACGTCGCAGTCCTAGGAATCGTCGAGACTTCGCGCTCGGTGTCGAGGCCTGATTTGGCGGGTGTGGATGGTGGGAGGTCTGGTGTGTTTGATTGTGTGGTTGTTGCTGATGAGGTGAAGGGGATGTAGGACTTTAGGGACTGCGCCCATGATTGCGAGGGCTGTGGTGATGATGGCGCGGCTTCGAGAGTGTGGTGGGGGTGTGGTGTGTGAGGATTTGAGGAACCGTTCGCAGCGGAGGCTGTGCGGGCTTGTTCGAGCCAGGCCTCGCGGGATTTGTGGTCTACGGGACAGACTTCAGCGGCGGCATCGGCGGAGGCGGCGGGAGCTTGTGTCGCGGGGGCGTTCGTAGACGTTGGCGGCGGCGCCGAGGAAGAGGAGAAGGGCGTCAGAGACAGTAGAGACTGCGTCCAGGACGATGATGACTGCGCATCCTGGGACTGTGGTGACCCTGCCTGGGTCGGGGGTATCGGGTGCGGCGGGTGAGGAGGTTGCGCAGCGTCTGGGTTCGCGGCGCGGGCGTGCTGGAGCCAGGCTTCGCGGGCCTTGTGGTCGACGGGGCACGTCTCGGGTGCGGCGCCGTTGCTGGAGTCTGACATTGTGTGGTGAGGATGGTCTTCGTAGTCGATTGCGACGGAGGAGGATATAGTAGCTGCTGAAGGTTGGAAGCGGGTTAGGAAAACGAGGTCTACGAGATCGGCGTTCATTGTGGAGGTTTGGTATGTAGTTGAGCAAAGGTTGTATGGTTCATACCAGTCAGAGATATTCAGGAATGGAAGCCCTCGAAGAACGAAGAGGCAAAGGGATCTGATCCTTTATGAACCCCTCGATAGGTTTGGCGGCTTGACAGGTAACCAGATGCGGGACGGGGGCCTAGATCCAGAACCCGGGGATAGGGTTGCAGTGGTGTTTCTTTCTTTGTTTGTCTAGATCTTGGGGCGTCGTAGCTGGGAGGGGTCTTGCGACGGGAACCGCATTGAATGTCTGCGTTGGCGCAGCTGAAAGCCCAAGGGAGAGGGCGCGTTCGTTTCGTTGGTTCTTGGCTGGTTTCGTGAAGGGGGTTGATTCACGATTCCGCGACGAACGAGCGGGATGCAACGACTTTTTAGGTGGAGACTTTTTCTGTCCGTGTCTTCCATGCGCATCTGTTAATTTTTATTTTGGGATGATGTGATTGACGCCGTTTGATTGGGCGGTTGGATGATGGGACTGTCTGTCGGGTGCTTCCGATGACGCCGGGATGGCCACGGTCCACGGAAGCTCTGGAGGATTGATGCGTCAGCAAAATCCCGAGCTGCTGGATCCACGATCCGATATTCCACCGACAACCTGTGGCTCAAGCTATCAATATGTGGCTGGTGCTTTTACACAGAGATCGCCTCAGTCAAGCTTGTTGATGCTATCCCTAGGATTTCTGCCTCGGTGAGCTTTAGTGCTTACTACCACGTGATACTACGTAGATATCTCTCTACTTAGCATGATCTGTTGATGAAAAGAAGGTCGGAATAGATTCGTGCCGTCAGACTACCTTTAAATCTATTTGTACTGCTATTGTATGCCTTGGGTAAAGTCAAAATGCAAGCAACCATGTCGCGCCAGTTCAGACTCCCCCATCTATTCCCGCTATTCGTCGCAATCGCTCACACCCTCGGCGGCATCGTCCCATTCTTCGCCCAAGATGCTGGAATTCGTTCCTTCGGGCTGCCAGAAAGATTCGCAGAGTCACCCATAGCACAGTCGTGCTTCATCCTCGACGGCGCCCGCCTATCTATCCTAGGGATGGTCCAGCTAATCATGTACCTTCGCGGGGACTACGTGGGGGTAGACATCGTCATGGCTTTGCTGGTGTACGTTGGGCTCGTTGACGGGTACGTTTGCTGGCGTGAGGGTCAGCTGGGATCAGCTATGTTTAGAGCCACGTCGGGGATTGTTATTGGGGCATGGGGTATGTTGGGATTGACTTCCAAGCTGTGAATTGTTTGAGATTACCTGTATTTCTCAGAAGGAAAGGTAGAAAAATCCGATTTAGATATATGTTGTAAGTACCTGCAAGACGATATTTCCTCCAAGGCGGACCGAATTCCAGGGACATCTAGTCGTACATTTGCTCCTGTGAGTGGCTATAGCCATTGTTCACATGTGTTTCTTTCATCTGATTGTATTCCATAGACCATGAGAACCTCATAGTTGAAGCAACCGCAAAGCGGTCCTTGATATCATTGAGACTCATAAAATCATTGTACATCTAGACACGTACGGGTGCCATTCTGCACGGACCAGCAACCGACGTCAAGCCTCGGACACAGGTCACATCGCAAAAAATCGGTGGCTGAGGCTCCAAGCTCGGGTGGACGCTGGCAAGTCGGCTACCTCGGGAATTGACGGAAGCGGGTAGCTCAAGCCTCGAGGAAATTATCGGATGAATTTTACGTCCAAGCTGCCTTTTTGCTTAGGTGCCCGGTAGCTAACCTTAGGATACCTAGTTATAACACCTGCATGTGCCTATAGAAACAGACCAGAACTTCCCCATGGGCCAAGGGAAATCAAACGTGGCACGATTTCCCCAAACTGTTCCCGGAGCTACGGACGCAGGGTGCGCGTTTCTCCAAAGCTGCGGGAGAGAGAGCATATCACATGCGGGCCAACTAGGTGGTAAGCCGCGCCTGCTAAGCATTGGCTCGTAGTTCCGAAAGACGGTTACATTACATTAGCTGCAGGTGCTTCACATAGACTCTGAATAGTCTCAGGGAAGCATCATCACATGGGATTGATTTCAATGAAGCTCGGCTCGGCACACATGATTACGAAAAGAGTTCGGAAGATGTTGAAGTAAACTTGCTTTTATGCACGGGGTCTGTTGGTGTGGTGACGAGTCTAGACTATCGGTACAGGATCCTGACGTCGACGGTAGAAGGAAAAGTTGAGGACTAGGTATAGAAAATGGCCAAAGCAAGAGACAGGTCTTTGATGCCTGTGTCCGCTTGGGTGTTGGATGAACTCCCAGTAGAAACTCCCATAGTATCCCAGCAAAGCTTCTTACTTGACGGATGGGAATCGCTTCCATTGTAATGGATATCACGAAGCCGCCATAGTAAATCGCTTTTGTAACTTTTCCCTTGCCGTTGGTCACGAGCGTGCCGTGACGAATCAATATTGCCGACTGTTCCGTGCCCTGCCGAAGGCCCCAATCCCGGGAGCATTTGTGGTCGACGGTCTACGCGGAGGGTGGGATGTCCACCGTCGCTGTAATCTCGTCGTTTCGTACACACGTGTTGTCATCGCCTACTTTTGTGAACCTCGCCAACTCTCCACTCAGTTCCGTCTCTTCCTCGTCTCCGCGCCATCATCGCTCATTTTTTCGTAGTCCAGCCCGCGGATGTCATGGTAAATAATGTCTCCCTTAACCGTGAGGTCACAAGGGCGCGTTCCGTTTTCCGTTCGTCGTTCCGACATCACACTCAGCCGAAGAGGGCAGCGCCGCCGGACTCGACAGCCTCGATCTCAGCCATGTCGAGGGGCTGGCGGCGGAAACGGGCAGGGAGCTCGGAGCGGTCAAAAGCGACGCCAGAGGGGGGAACGACGGAGCCGAGCTGGTGGCCGGTAGAGCCACCTACGCCGGAACCGATGGTGCGCTGGAGGGGACCGTGCTGCTGGGCGTGGTCGCGGTAGGAGCTGAAGCTGGTGTGCTTGGGGGAGGCGGAGCCGTTGCCAAAGTTGGCGGGAAGCTTGCCGGTGGGCGAAGCTGGGTGAGGCGCGGGGCTGTGGTCGATGGAAGCTGGTGAGGTCTTGTTAGTATCGTGGGAACGGACGTTGGTGAGAACTTCAGTTAGAGCAGACGTACAAGGAATGGAGCGGCGGCCGAGGAACTTGATGCTCGGGGTACGCTCGGCGTGAGCGGCGGCCTGGCGGAGGACTCTGGTAGCGAACATTTTGAAAATGAGTCGAGTGGAAAAGGTCTCGAAAGATATGCTGGAGTGGTGATTCCGACAGGGTCCAAAGCTCGTTCGTTGGTGTGGGCGGTGGTGGACCGAAGTGTGTAGGAGGGAAAAAGAAGTTTGGTGGTTGAGCTCTCCTCCTCGCCTGTGATGATAAAGCTGGGGTGTGTGCGGTACGCGCTAGCGACGGGTATCAAGGGTGGTTATAAACTTTTGGGTGCCTGTGGCTTTTTGTGTATTTGACGGAAATGCAATTGGAATGTCTGGCGGGTGGCAGAACTTTATCAGCAGGGAGGAGAGCGATTTGGTCGGTTTTGGTGTTGAAGGAGGGAAGAAAATGAAGAGGTGAGAAGAAGGAAGAGAGGAACCAAAGGCGGGAAGGCTGATGTGGAAGGCAGACACGTCTTATTTCAGTAACCAGCACTGCACGCTGCACAGAGGTATGGGGAATTTTCTTCACAGGCCGAGAGACACCGCGCCGCCTCCGCCGCCGGCCGTGCCCGCCTGCTTCTGAGGTACCTCCACCATCCTGGCGGCGGCGTCTGGCGCTCTCTCACACACTCTCTACGCAGCAATGGTAGGTTTTTTTTTTCCTTCCCTCCTCCAAGGTTCCATTCTGTGTTACAACGCTCGGTTGGGTGTTAGCTGGTGGGTTCACTGGGTTGGGTGTCGCTGCACGGCCTGCTCACCTCAGCCAGATGGGCGGCTTCGGGAGGAAAGGCGACAGGGAACGGACAGGGAGGCAGGGGATGGCAGGACGAGCTAGCGGTGCACGCTGCAATGTGCATGGTGCCATGGTGGTAATGGGTGGTGGAGGTGGAGGGAGAGGAGCACAGGAGCACAGGATGAAGGCTGCAACGGAGGAGGGGAACAGACGATGGGGGTGAATCTTGTTCTCATGTCTTAGCGCGCCAGCCCCGAAACCCGAACCTCGGGCAGTGATTCCCGTCATCAAACAAGTCGTGGAGTTTCTAGAGACTCTGGTTGTGGTGTCTAGAGTTGCAAGCCCCGAGGAGACTCTCGGTTCGGCTGAGGAAAAGTTGCCATTGTCTCTTGGAAGTTGCAGTCCAGGCGAGGCTTGCTACATGATCAGAATCAACAACATCTTCTCTTTCTCCCACATCTTCTTGCTATGAACAATAGTTGAGCAGGAACATGGAGCTCCTCATGGGCTCTTGGGCTGTCATTCTCACGCAACTCGACCCAACTCGACTCAGTGACATTCGAAATCTTACAAACCTCCATTTCTAACAATCGTCTAATGTGCTCCTCCCCCGTTTCAGGCAATCTCCACAAACCCCAAGCGTCCTGGCTCGCGTCCCCAAGTTCCAACGTCGGACCGACCACGCCATTCCCAGACCACCTGCGGGCGACCTGCATAGGTATTGGACAATGAGACGCCGTCCACATCTGGGAACCCCGAACGCGTGGGAATCCAGCGGTCCCCGATCCCTTCCTTGTTGTCGGTCTTTGACTTGGGTCTGTCCAGTCTCCAAAATATCCTAACTCAATGACAATGATCTGTCTAGGACTCCAGATTCCAGAGCCTAGAGGTGTTCACTCTTCAACGAACAACTGCCCCTCCTCGTCGTCACTCCTCCGCTCTTCCGTCGAGTCGGAGCCCAGTAATTAATCACTCTGTTAACTAAAGTCTAACTAGTGTTAGTTCTCCGCCCTGAGTAGCCCTGACCGGTGACAGGACCTCAGTGACAGGCCACCGCCGCCGCCGCCGCCGCCAACCAGCGGACAGCCAGCCAGTCGCCGTAATGCGGGACACATTGATTTTACACGTGAATTGCACCTTATCTCTGCGCTCCCGCGTCATGGCACCGGCATCGAACCATTTTCCCCTCCTCCACCCATGCGAAAAAGTCTCCATGTCCCCATCGTACAGAGACAATGGGGACCAAAGTCCACACACACTAAATTCAAGAGTCGGATATCCGTATTCAGAATGTGAAAAACACACCGTCTCAGCCTTTTGGGGTATGTGTTTGCAATTTCGTCTCTTGTGCTCAAAACCGTTTCTTGGCGGCGGCAACTTTCACATCTGCTGTAAGGAGTATCTTTTGTCTAGACTCTACCTAGGGGATACTTGACGTGGCCGATGAGGAATCCCACTCATCGAACAGACATTGTCAGAACCGCAGCATCGCAAACCCGGTCTCTTCTGAGCCAAGCAAATGTCAATCTGCATTTCGGCATACCACCTCACCTAGGGCAATAAGCTCTCGAGGTCTGCCAAGACACATTTTCGTCCGACCTTTTGTGCGAGCGAAACCGAGCTCCAGTGGTCACCCTTGAACTTCCCCAGACTTCTGGCACAAGCCCAAAATCTGGAGATTAGACTTTTGTGCGACTCTGCAGTGTCTCTCTCGCTCTCCCTGGACTCCAATGTTTGTACAGTACACTGTCTTGACTGTCACTGTAACATGCTACCAACCCCCCAGGGCACTCTGCCGCGAGTGACAACAACTGCCGCGGTGTCCGGCGGTGTCCCGCGGTGCGGCGGTCGGTGTTCGGGATTTTTAGCCTAGTGGTAGCTGTAGCCTGTAAGGCCTGCTTGGGACTCGGGAGATCAGTGATCAACATGGCGCGGGGAAAGGGAAGGGGGAAGGGAAGGGGGAAGGGAAGGGATGGTGATGCGACGACCCCAAGGGCCCAAACCCATTGGCGAATTAGCAGTATTATCAATCAACTGAAAGCGCTGGGGAACGGTTCGCGAGGACAAAATGTCACATCCGGGGGAACCGGCGATACGCGATACTTTGGGGAAAACTGAGTGAACAAGACGAGGAAGGCAGCTGTTCAGCAAGGAATACGCAGTCCTCCTCCATGCTTCCCGATCCCGGTCCATCCACACCGCAACACCAACGAAACCTCTTCACGCCCAAAAGGGACAGGACTCGCAGTGTAGGAGAGTCTCTTCGACGGAGATGGGCGCTCTGCATCGAACGATTCTGCGGGCGACCGGGACATGATCTTGAACCAGCCAGTGGGCACGAAACCGCGACCGAGACACAACTTCTTCGCTTCTCTTCAGGCAGAGCACGCGAGCAACAGAAAGAGAGGGTGTCCTCGTCAATGAGACTTGGTCTCGCTGATGTGCGAGCTCTCTGCCGGTCGTCACATCTGTACGGAGTACATCTGCCTCTCCCGGGCAGTTTTTGCCCAACACGGCAAACCCTTCCCACCGGATCTAAGCAAGCCCACCTCCAGCTTAAGTCCAGCAAGCCGGACAAACCACAGCGAAGCCAGGAGTGACATACAGACAGACCAGCTCCAAGTTCAAACCCCCACGGCACGGACGCTGGGGAAGGAGAGGTGAGGTTGCAGCAGACGGCCAGCAGAATGGACTTGGAATCCCGGGCCCTGCATTGCATTGCATCAGCGCCGCTTGCGCGTGCGGCGCGCTGCTCTGTGTGCCTGTGTGGGAGTCTGCCTGTCTGCCCTTCCCGCCGGGGCCCTGGCCGGTTTGGAAGGGTTCTGGGTGGTTACCGGGCCGGCTAACGAGGTAAGACGGCGCGAATTGCAAGCCGCTGGGCACGTTTTTTTCCTTTCTTGGTGGGGTTTGGTCTCGTTGGGTTGCTTGTCTCTTACTAGTGTTGCCTCGACTAGAATTACCTTCTACAATGGGCGGCTACTGTGAACCTTTGGCGTCTGTAGCTCTCTTCTGCATAGGAGAAGACGCTCGGCTCCGGTTCTTGCTACTTTTTCTTTCGGTACTGTCCTGTGTAGGATTTCTTGACCAAGAGCCTTTCCTGAATTGCGACTTGTGGATAGGGCTAGCTTTCCACCATCAGTGAACTGCCCGGACTTCTCTCTCTGCCAATGTCTCCATGATCCATCTCCCTCTCCGACCGATGACGTGCTCCCGAGATTAAAACGTCTATTCCCCCCTGCCTGCCGTCTTCAAGAACCGAAAGCCGGGTGTCGAACCATTCCCGGCGCGAATCGCGCTGTGGGATTGCCACTCACTATATCCGTAGCAGTCCATCCCGATCCCGGTTGTACGCAATAGCACACGGAGCACCCGCCGCACCGGAGGTGTGGACGTCTACTACGCAGTATGGTGGTCCGATAACGGCGGCGCGGCTATAGTATGCTAATTAACTTGATTTGCAAGGCGAGGCGGAGCGCGGAGCCCCCAAAGACACTGTACACAATGCGGCGATTCGTGCGGCTAGGGAAAAGAATTCTTGAGGGTCCGCTTCAGGAAATGGGAAACGCTGAACCTAGTCCCCTGTCGCGCTTCGGGCTGCCTTTCCTTTTTTCCCTCTTGTCTAGTGGCCTAAATTGGGCAGGCTGCGATGCGATCGGAGCCGAATTGATCTGCATGTCTCCGTTCTGGGGAAGATGATCCTCGGGATCTGTTTCCCGTATTGTCGCTGTCGCTGTTTCGAATTCGGAACTGCTTCATCCCAATTTGGTGTTCAATTCCCATACTCCGTGAGGACATGGTGCAGTTTTTGTTGTTGCTAACTTGCTGCGAACGCCTTTCTGCCTCGACCAGCTCCGTAATAGGAGTATGTTGCTGGAAATGCACAATGATGTCGGGTTTCGGACATGACCTAGTACGGTCTTCATTCTATTCGACATGGCAAAGGAAGAACAAGAAAGGAAAGGTCGGACAGCCCAAGAAACTTCGAGTAAAGATTGCAACTCAAGGTCACAATACTTGCATCCTCCTTCTCACCATTGTTCATCAGCCAGACAGCCCTTTGCTTGGTTGTTGTGACATCACTTTCCATCGCAAACAAAGTCCAGTGTACATCGAATTGAGTTGTTCGCAAAAGTGACTGCCTCAGATCGGGAAGAGGGTCACAGGTATCATCAATCATACATCATGAATGTCATCCATCCCAAACACCTAGTTTCCCTTGAGCCAACCATTGTCCCAGCCATTGTCCCTTTGTATATTCCATCAGACTACAGCTCCTTCTTGTCTTCGAAGCCAATGCTGATACGCGGAGCAAAGGCGTCTAGGTTGGGCTCGTTGACATCCCAGCCCGCCTGCTCAAGTGCCTTAGAGTCCAACTTCTCGTTACTTCCGCCAATCTCGATCTCGTCCACGGGAATAGCGCCGTGGAGTAGCTTCTGACTGCCAGTCTTCGAAGCCAAAGTTCTGTCGTGGGCGAGCATGGTGGCGTAGTACCATGCCATGAGGGTGTCGATGTCGTTCGCCTCCGTGGGGGACCAGTCCCCCAGGAGTAGGATTCTGATCGTAGCGATGTCTCCTCTCTCGCAAAGGCAAAGAATGAAACCCGGATGAGCCTTCTGACCTGCCTTCTCGGTAGACTGCTGCTTCGGCGTGACAAAGCGGACGCGAGCGCTCTTGAGGTCCGCAGTCATGGCGTGGGCATAGCTCTTGGCAAAGCCAATCTTGGTGATGACCTCCCCGCGATGATCCTTGATAACGGGCGTCCAGAAGACGATACTCTCGCGCGAGGCGACCTGAGCGGGGGAAAGAATCTGCTTCGTCTGCATGTAGTGCTTGAAGAGGATCGTAGCGCGTTGCTGGTTGAGGACGTTGAGCTGAACGCAGCGGACCCCGAGGTAATTCATGCCGAGATGGACAAAGACGAGCACGACCATGAGCGCAAAGACGGCTTCCCTACTCTCAACGTAGCGAACGACGATGGAGCCCACGAGCAGACCGACGAGGCCGACAGCGGTCTCCTGAGATGCCTCCTTCGCGTTGAGCTCGCTGAGGTTGTTGCGACGAGCAAAGTGCTTGGAAAGAGCGGCCTTACTGGCGCCTGCAGCAACGCCACACATTGCGCGAAGAGCTTCTGCGAGAACGAGGGCGAGGACTTTGGTCCAGGGGTCGAAGTAGGGGCTGAAGAGGTCGAGGAAGAAGGCGCTATCGTTGAAAATATCAGCGAGG